CCTTGTTATGGCTAAGCTTCTCTTCTTCTCGAGAATGTTATGATCCTGGCCAAAAATAGGAAGAAGAATGTAAAGAAAAGGAAACTGTATATCTTTTCTGTTGTCAGCTGAAGAGACAATAGACTCTCAATTGGGCCTCCTCACCTTGTCAAGGCATGTTTCAGTGTGCTCCATTCCTTATGTAGGCCGAGGAGTATTTCTTCAATCTCTCTCTTAATCATCCAACAACCTGGAATGGATATAATACCTATAGTTCATATTTGTTCGGGGATTAAACTTAAAAATTTAGACTGGTTACCTGTATCAGTTTTTGGCTAGTTCAACCTTAAATACTATTGTTGTTGATATTGGTGTTATCGGTCCCAAGCCCAAATGAAAAAGGTGAAGGATTGCATTAGGCCACTGACAATCAACATAAAACTATGTCAGATATTATGAATATGGGTCTTTACCGATTAGCTCAATGATGGCAAATAATCCATGTAGTCGATCCTAAATAATTGAGATATTATGGCCTTGTTTTTGTTGTTGTTACACCCCTTTTGCAACTTGTTTTGGTCACAATGAAGGAGGCATACATACCTAGCAGCAGATGTAGTACATAAACGAAACAGAGCCTTAATTAAATTAATAACTGATATTTCTGTAGTCTGAAGTGAGCCTATAGACAATGTCCCAAGTCATTATAATGATATTCACGAAGTGGCCATCTTAATCATAATGGGTTTTTCATAACCTTGTCAAAGATAGTATATAGTTCTAATTATCTTGTTTATTCTGTAGATAACTCTTTCTTTATAACGTTTCTTGATGTTGTATTCTGAAACACTCTCAAATCTTTGAGATGTGTGATATGAAGCTGTTTAATCAAACTGCTTTATTGCAGAGCGATTTTGATGTATTTTTCAACTTGATTCTAGTGCAAATGCATTAACCTTCAGCACAAATAGTTATTAAAATTACTTGTCAAAGCTGTGTGTAGTATATTGAGACGAGATAGTGAATGCTATGAAACTGCATAAAACTGCTATGTACTACATCGGGGACTGAGAAGTAGTTTTAAGTTGCAGGCTTGGAATGTAGAAGAATTATTAAATTCTTTTATCAAGATACATAAAGCAAAGTAATAATGAAGAAATATCACTCTCAGACATGCAATTCAACAATGGGCTTACTTGCAGTAAGCTACCGAAGATACCAAGATTAATAATGCTGTGAAGCTTCAAATGGCTGCCAAAGATGTCAACATTTTGGATATTGCATGGGTTGAGAAGTCCAATGAGATCATGTTAAAATATGCACTAGAAGCACAACCAATAATTTTTAAGCTGTAGTAACACCAAATGAAGATGATAGTTGGAAGCCTAATTTATTATTTGCAAGAGTTCCACTATGCTTTCTTTGTGTCTTCGAGTTACGTAAATGAAGTTGGTGTAAGACACCAATGCTGCCACTCGTGAAATAATGCATTAGAAAAGACGAAAACCAAAAGAATATAGTTATGGTTATGAGGACCTAGGAGTCTTGTTCCAAATGCATACCAAGCAAAGAGGCTCTGGTTGGAGTCTGTTTAGTGTTCTATTTGTTAGACATTGTTGAGAACATCTCAGTAATGTTGTTCAACAGTTAAGTTTATCTGATTTGAGTTTGTTAAGGTTGGTCTGTCTTTGATTCGGAGTGCGCATCATCTAGAGGGGTTTCATAGACATAGTAGAAGAGACATGATGTTGAATCTTAAAATATAGGCTGCTGAAGTGGAAGCAACAAGGAGGTATAATTGAAACATACCGGGCATTTGATGGTTCGTTTGATGAGGTTCCTAAAACCTTTCTTGAAGAGGCTGCTTATGTCAATAATCAGATATTCAGTATACTGGTGAGGCAATGATCAGATATGTGTGGTGGATTTCTCAGAAAATACATGAAGAGTTGGAAGCACTTCAATTCCAAATTGAACTTAAAATTTTTATCTATCAGAATTTCTGATCTGTAGATAATGCGAGCTTCTGATTTTTCTAATTGACTTCTGTTTGACAAGCAATTGCATTGCTTGCGTGTGTTCCATTTACAGGTAGATGTCTACTCAGCCCTCTCCATGTTATGCACTATAATACATTTAGCACTACTGCTTATGGTCAGATTTTGATATTAACGGCTACACATTATTTTAATGCGTTAGCTAAGGACATAAATTTGCAAATCCAGGTTGACTGAATATTATGCACTGCTGTGTTGTTTCTTATGTCTGTTGAATCTCATTTCATGGTATCTTATCATCTCTAGTTAATCAATATCTTTGAAGCTACTCCTTTATTGTGCATTACCTTATGGACCTGTTCATTTCCTTTGGATTAACTGAAGTACTTCATATTCCACATGCACATTAGTTGTATCAGATAAACCACTAATCTGATTCCCAACGATGCCCACATTGTTTGCTGTTCTTGAAAGTTACATTCTTAAATTGCACAGTCTGATTGCTCAACCTCAAAATAATGGAAACATATGAATCGTCAGGGAGACCTACTATGGGAGGACGTTGTTCATTAACTTCTTTGCCGTCATCCCACAAGTTATAGCATCTTTTGGTATCCTTCTTACATGGTCAACACCTTCAGCAAAGATTACACCCATGCCCATGTGTAAATGTGGTTCTATATGGCAATGAAATGCCCAAACTCCAGGATTGTCTGCCACAAACCTTATTGCTGTCCAACCATAAGGAAAGATCACTACTGTGTTTCTGAGTGGCGGATTCTTTAGATTAAACTGTGACGCATCCTTCTCTTCAAACCTTTCATCCCCATATCCTAGCACCCAGAAATCATGCCCATGCAAGTGCCATGGATGTATTTCGCTGACATTGTCAGCGAGGGCATTTGCATTTTGAAGAATTACATCAACTGTGCTGTTAAACTGGATCACATATGCATTACTACTTTGTGTCGAATTAGGATTTTTAGGAGGTTTCATCACATCATAATCTGAGGGGAAGTTATCAGGTGGCTTGCTAGGATCAAATGCATTCTTCAAATGATATCTCATGGACCCTAAATAAGGAGTGGGAGGAAGAGCTAATGAGACGTTGTTGATAGACCATTTGATATAACCATTGATTTTGTTTTGTGTGTTGAGCAGGGCAATCTTCTGTTCAGCATATAATGGGGGCTTTGGTGTGCCTTGTCGGGCTAGGATTTTTCTAGAGAATGACTTGCTGTGGTTATAGTCATTCCATTCGGGCGTAACTGGAGGACTAGATTCAGGTAACTTAGATGGGGAATTAGGTTGGTAATTTATGATAGCTAAAGCAGGTTGGGTATTGGGTTTCCTTCCCCTGACACCAACAGATAGCCAATAGTTTGATGATGGATTCTGGTCTGTGTTGATGAGTACCGAGTAGCTTTCACCTGAATATATGTCCATATCATCGACAATGAATGGTTCAACATAGTTGCCATCTGCTTCCACCACCATCATCTTGTGATTCTGCATACAAGACAATTGCAACCATGACATAGGACATGATTGTTTTTATTTGCCGCACAATATATTATCTCCTTATGATAATAGATAAATAGAAATACTGTTAGAAGAAGTAGAATTTTAGGATAACGAGGAAAAAAATTATCTGGAGCATATTGCAGTACAGGCAAATACAGTGTCCTGATGTCTGTATGGGTACTAAATAATGTGAGATCCACAGTATGGACTATTTTTTGCTTAATATTTCAGCAATAGTCTTTGGTTTTTACCTGAACAGTGTTTGTGGATAAGGCTCTTGTTCTGGAAACTGTCATTATTCATGCAGTGATATTATTCCTGCTAAGCTGTCGCTATACCTATATACCGTAAGCTATTCAGGGCATCCTGTGCAGCATCAGTTTTTCCCAAAGGTATAGTTAGCATTTCATTAACTATTCCTTTTAACCTTATTACTAAATATATAGCTTAGTCTGCTGATCATATATAGGGAATTTCAGTTTTCTTCCATCAAACTATTCTTTTGTTTTTAGGCTGTATCACATGGTCATATGAAGAACCATTACCAAGCATCTAATCTTCGTATCCTCTTCTGCAACTTTAGGAGCCATCCATTATTCTCTTTTGTTCCTTTCAGGAGTGACATGACTTGCTTAAAAGAAATGACCGTCAACTATCCAAATAATATAAGAATTTCCATGTTTGGGCTGTTTAGTTGCAACAATTGACTGAATAAATGGCTTGTGAACACTTCATTAAAGTTCTAACATTGTGTTCATATGTCTGTTTTCATGCTGATCACTATCAACTTAATGATGTCTGGTATGTGATCTTCTATGTTTGGTTTTCTCTCACATCGGTTCTTACATTTATCATAGTTTAGAATTCAAAAAAAGGACTCTTTTGTATTCTACCCAAGGTATGCAATACCGTATCGTACTGGTGTTTCGAGGTTGGTTCGGTACGGTACGGTACGGTACCGGTGTACCAAATAATTTTATATATTTTTTCATTACTGTAGTACTGGAGTACTGCTACAATATAATACTGTAGTACTGTAGCGGTATCGGTATGCCATCGGACCGGTACGTACCGCCCGTACCGGACAGTATCATTCGATACTGCATATCATGATTCTACCAGTGCATTTCTAGATGCCTATTTTGGGCCCTTAGAGTTGAACCTACCTAGTTCATATCTTGGTGTAGAGGGAGGTTGTCACTAGAGTTCCTTGGTGTTCTTACTTAGAGATTAGTATCCTAGATGGAAAGCATAACAAATCGAGAAATGAAATTTAAGCTTGTAAAGTATTGATGGTTTACTTACGCCAATGGCCAGATTGAGAGATGAAAGCGAGGTGGTGCTTGTAACTCTCAGCCTATATGTCTTGCCTGGAAGCACACGGAGCACAACTGGTGCACAATCTTTGCTTGTTAACTTGCATGTGCTCGATCCCTCCATCAGATGTGCGGCCAGCGAGCAGTTGTACTGCCCCCTCCCATTGATCAACAGTGACTGCATCCAACAACAAGCCAAATGAGCGGGAACACAACAGAAGATTCCATTACTTATCGTGCTGGAAGCTTTCACAGTTTTGTTCTAAAGAGTTCTCTTTGATCCGTGGCAGGACACCACTTATAAGGTAAGAATGTTAAGTGTTTCTCCATCAGTGAGTCACTGTCTTAGCTGCTTTAATAATTCAAAAGGTGGTGCAATTTGGATGACATGTGGTCCATTCTCTTCCTCCCATGTTGCTTTTACCATTGGTCTGTCTGTGTACATTGCCTCGTTGCAGCTAAGCCATCTATCTCGGTTCTCAGGCCAAGTCAACCATCAATCATCGTCCTCCCCAGTGGAGTCCAACTACTCAATGGCAGGTGTGTTTAAACTGCTGAACATTATTAGGTGGGCACTCAAAATTTCTGTTCGTTCTTTCACTGATGATCTTATAATCTGAATGATCGTTTGCGACAGATGGTGGCCTACTTCTCCGGACAGCTTCAGATGCCCATCTCCGCGTGCTAATTAAAAAGGTGAGGCAGTTCTTGAAATCGACGATTATATTTGCTAAGTGTCAATTTATGCAAGTTTTTTAGAGCAACTGCTTTTTCCTCGTGCTATGTGGTTCTCAATTGTTCTAGTTTTAAATGTTGTTGTAGTCAAAGGATAACTTGGACTAACGAGTACCGAAAAAGCTGACAGTGCCTGTGATGGTGGGTTTTGGGTGGATGCAATAGGTGCCTGTTGAAAGGTCGACAGACCAGAACCAGCACGAAACACTAAGGCAGGATGGTATCATTAATCTAGCCAATTGAAGAACGACAATTGAGGTTTAGCTTTACGTTTCTTATAGGAGATCACAGTAGCATAGTGGAGATGAATAGATGAGTCATTTTCAAGGCTAAATGATGCATCACTTACCTGGGGTTCTCCAATCCATCGAAAGGGTTTGGAAGATAGTCCCACCATTTGGTCATATATGCTCTGGTGATACCAGTCGCTCAACAATAGGTTGAACTCTCCGTCGTAGTGGAAGGGCTCCTCCTCCCCGTCGGCCACTTCCACTATCAAAGACCCGTACAGCCCTGCCGCCCTCTGCATCCCGTAATGCCCGTGATAGAAATATGTTCCTGCCTATTTGCATGGTCATCAAGTCAAAAAATATAATGGTTGCTTTTGGTAATAAATGAAGTAACTTTTGTTTCTGAAAGAAAAAAAACCTTTTTTTTTTGGTGAAGGCAAATAAATAGAGTAAATACAGATGCGGCTGCCTGATACGTGAGAGACTAATCTGAGGAATGATAAGGAGATGAGTTACCTTATCGACCTGAAATCTGTAAACATAAGTCTCTTCAGGATTGATGGCGCACTGTGAGATGGAAGCTGTTCCATCAGCCCATGGTGTTCCATACTGGTTGCAGCCAGTGACATGCACATTTGTAAGCATAATAGCAAGGACATGAACGCATGAAATGAAGGTATGTTTCTTTCTCCTTCATGCAGCTAGCTAGGGTTTCACTGTTTTACCAACCTGTCTGATGCCATGCCAGTGGATGACAACTCCCTCGGTGTGAAGGGCGTTCTTCAGCTCGACATGGATGGTGTCGCCGGCCTTGGCGCGGATGGTCGGTCCGGGGAACTGGCCGTTGATCCCAAGTAGAATCTTCTCCTCGCAGTCCGGCGACGCATACATGTAACCCACCTCCCACTTGAAATGCCTGGTCTTTGAAGCCAAGCCAGCCTGCAGCAGGAGTGAGATGATACAAGAGACGTACAGAAGCGAGCCCATAGTCAAATGGTAGTATTATCCGGTTGAACTAGCGAGTGGTAGCCGATGGAGTGTTTGGAAACAGGTGGAGATAAGGTTGAAGGGGAAGACTAAGAGAGAGGAGAATTAGAAAGACTGTGGATGAAGCAGCATTTTTCTTGAGTTGGTTGGAGCAACTATGCTGCAGTGGGTGCTTTTTTTTATAGTGGGAGATGGGTTTAAATTAGAGTAAGGAATTATCAGAATTCTTAGTTGATTGTCACTTTTATTATATAGGGTATGATTTGAATCATAGTTTCTCATGTTACAAAGGAACAACTTTATGAGGTCCATCCTCAACAACTATTTTAAAGATAGATAAAGAGAGAGAACTGGTAACTTGATTTCTATTGCTATTGTCATCATTATTATTATTCTTATTTCACTAACAACACTTGGAATTATTATTCTGCTTCCCATAACCTTTAAATTCCTTGCAGAGCATAACAGGTGGTGTCGATGATGGTCTTTGGGATAGTAGAGCATCTTTCTCCCGTATTGTGAGGTCAGGTTTTAATATCCTTCCTATTCAAGCTATACTTTTTCATGAAGTTCATCTTGTGGTTTCTCCTGTTTTACCAGGCACATGGTAGGGAATCATGCCAAAAGAGAGTTGGGTTGATTTATATAAAGAAGACGAATAGTAATCAACATCAGCTACTTGCATCACTTTGACGAGGTGACCAGAATCTTTTGAACGTTGATGCAACTTGCTTCGGCTACTTGCATCAATCACTTGTGAACAAAAAGAACCAAGAATCCAAGGAGGAACAAGAAGACATTCTGAAGAATGAAGAATGGTACAATATGCCTCGGCTACTTGCATCGCCTTTGACGGGGTGAAATGAATCTTATGAAGAATGGTACAGCATGCTTCGGCTACTTGCATCACTTTGGAAGAACCTAAAGAATGGGTCCATCAGATCACCTCAAGCATTTTGTGGCACAAGTTCTCCAGAATATGCATCTATAACATGTATTTAGAGCTGTCAGATTTCAAAAACCCTTGTTATTTGGGCAGCATGTCAGGAACATTATCACCATGAAGCTCCGAAGCACATCCTTTTTTAGCATCTGTAATTAATGGCACTGTATTTACTGAATGCTGTATGTTTAGTGTTTGTGTGTGGGCAACATTTTGCTCTGCCATCCACTCTAATAGTTTGCTACAATTTTGGGGCATCTCTTTATGTCCAATGTGTTACACCTACACATTACTTTAAAGAAAAAGAATTCCACCACATTGCTTTGCAAGTATACTAACAAAAATCATGTGTGAAGAACAGCCAGATCATAGATACACTGTTCATATATTGTTTATCCATGAGCCTACATACGTGTCTGTAATCATGGCTGCTACCCACATCTTTTGCAGCATGGGATGCCTGCCTTACCACATTACTGTTCTTTCTTCTTGATGCTGCAGCCGAGGTCTTAACTGGTGCCTGTACTTCACATCAAGGCACTCATTCGACCACTGCAACTCCTGAAGAGAGAGAAAAAAATAACCATTAAAGTGAAACATTAGGAGACCATCCACTGTTTCATCTCTCCGGTCTCGCTACTGAGATAAAGAGCACAGTGAAGCTGTTGTGATCGAGGAAGGTGTGACAGCTACAATTAGAGATGGAGTGTAGTGAATTCATGTAAAATATCTTATGGATTTAGAGAAGATAATTGTTATGCTAATTGACCAGTAAACTTTGCTCGAATTAACAGTAAATTTAGTTAATCTTTTTCAAAGAAAGATCCTAACTTTGAATCTTTTTGAAACTTTATGAAAAATAAAATCTCTCATGTAAATTTAAAGAAGGTAACTGATAATTAACCGGTAAACTTTGTTAAAATTAACAAGGTTGATTAGGTTTTAAGGAGAAAATAGCATCCAGAATTGTAAATTCTGAGATGCTATGACTTTTTGAGATGGTATTTATAATAGATTCACTTATGGGCGGATTTTCGATAAAATTATTCTTTTACGACTTAATAGATCAAGATTAGAATCACAAAAATAATTTTTTAAATATTTAAAAATAAGATTATCTATATTGATCCTCTTGGAATCTCATACTGGCAGGAGCCACACAAAAAAAAAAAAAAAAACTCATTTTTGTGGTGGTGTGGGACCAACGCATGCTCAACTTACTACCATTTACATAGTATTTCTATTACTTCAGGACAAGTTGTGCCCAAAATATTAATTAGGTAAGAACTGAAAACAATTATTCCATTTCTTTGTAGTGAAGTCTTTCTGATATGCCTTTTGCCAGGAAACGTAGCAGTTGTGGTTTCAGCATATGGTTTGATCTGTTGGAATATTGTATCATATATTATCTTAACTAAGATAAAAAAAAAATTAATTTTTAAGATATCTAATTGATAAGTCAATATTTAGTCATCATCCATACGACCTTATAAGCTCAGAAGGGATGGGATTGTTATGACGGTATGGTTTTATCCTTTCGAAGCTTAAGCCTCAAAATGAACCTATGAGAGTAAAAATAATTTGACGAACTTATGAACTCCTGATTCCTCAATCAATATGAGATTAAATATTTTTATCATTAATAAAATTATACGTTATATCAAATTATATTATGGTGGATCTTTATACAAAAGAACATATCATCTTATCACGAAAATGATCAAATGACTAAGAGATTGATAGAGTCTGTGAGATTAAATGAGAAATATTGGGAGTATCAATGCTTCGTTTGTTTTATGTTTACTGTTTTATTTTCATGCATTTGTTGAGATTTTCTTGATTAATATGATTACTATTTTGATTAATTGGGATTCAACACATAGGATTCGATCAGTGCCTATCGGACATGTCATGTAAATCATCGAAGAGTCTGTTGTCTATATACAGTATAAAATGATTTTATTCAATATATTAAATGAATACTTATGATTCTTACAAATAAATATGTACTAAATTGATCGTCAGGAATTTATTCGAATAAATCCTCTAATATAATATTTTACGTACGAGATATAGATATCTTACACGCTCGAATTAAGTAGCACTAAGGATAAGATACAAAAAATTTTCTTACTTTCTTACGGAGGTGATAGTATCATCGCACAAGTCAAGTGGAATTAGTTTCACTAAGTCAAATCAACGATCAAATATGACGTTAATTACCATAATGCATGAAAGAAAGTAATCAAAAGAAAATGGTTGTAGAAGTGTTGATATGACATTTTTCTAATGGCAATAATAAGCCAAAGAAGAGCAGATGGAGATGATGACCCAATGGCACTTCTACCTTTTCGTTTTTTCCTTCATCATCTAACATGAAGGCCATTCTCGATATGGATCGTATGTTTGCATGTATGACATGGAAAAAACGTTGCAGAAAGAAAACGATATTTTTCTAAAAAGATGTAGAGGGGCTAATTATATATTATTTCTATAATTAGATTTTTTTTATATCTTATCTTTATAATTAGATCTCTTTAGTATCTTAATCTATAGATTTAAAAAATTTATATTTGAATCTTTATAGTCATAAAAAAATATTTAACTTTATCTATCCTAACGTAATGGATAAAAATATAATTTTAATATCCTAATTATGTTTTTATTTGTTATGTATTAATTAAAATTTTTTAGTCAACTATTATGATGATGACGACGAACAATGATGTTGTTAGGGGCTATAGATGGTTGTTGTAGTGGTGATCGACAAGAACGATTCGATGGTCGACATTGTCGATGTCGATTCGAGCATTGACGATCGAGGTGAGGGCGACGCTTGCAACAATGGTGGAGATTAAGAGACTTTGTAACTTCTTATATGGGAAGGAGGAAGAGGAGGGAGAGCGGCGACACGGGGTGATGCAAAAGGAGAGGAAGAAGAGGACGAGGATGATGGTCACTCTATGTAGTTCTGCAACCACATTAGCGTTACTCTGCATATGCATCGGTGGAAGATTTGGCAAAGGCCTTGTGCCCCGTCAACATAGATACAGAGTGACACGATGTCAATACAGATGCCTCACCTCCCTTCGATGCAAATGTAGAACAGTGCTGGAGAAGGAAGAGAAGGGAGAGCAACAAGCGAAGAGTGTACCAATTGATGTCCTCCGTTGATTGAACCTCGGAATGTCTAGTTGAATGAGACTGTGGGAGCTTCATCGACTACTTGCGGGATCGTGATTAGGCCACTTGCCTTTGGCTTGTAATCTTAGCAATTTTGTGGCTGTCTTCTTCCGCTCCTTGTTTATCACCACCGTTGTGGGTCCACGATGATGGTAATATGATCCTATGGCGGGACTGCGGTTTCGAGCTGAAGACCTATCGCATTTGTAGTAACGGTGGCTACAGGAAGCATGTTGAGGTTGTTGTTGATGGCTTGCTCAGTGAGGTTTGTATAGTAAACGAGACAAGTTACGTGAGAGGCAAGCCAGACATCAATACAATCCAAGTGGAAGTTGTGGTTGCAACAAGGGAGGAGGCGAAGCTCCTCAGCGTCATCAAACTCGTTGAGGCATACTACACACTCGAACGCCCTCTTCCCTACCTTCAGTCTCTTAACCTTAGAGTATATCAGTATGAGAAACATCTCGAGGAACTCAGGGCTCAACCTTACTGTTGTCGAGAGTGGGCACTTGGGACGTGACAGTGCTACCATAATGATCGACTATGAAATTTTAATTATGACATAATAAAAAAAAATATAATTAGGATATTAAAAATATCTTTTTGTCTATCATTTTTATGTCATTGCTATGTGCTATATCTTTTATCGGTAAAATCAACGATATTGCTATGTCTCTTTCATAATTATAAGGGTTTCAATATAAAATTTTTAAATATAGAGATCGAGATGCTAAAGATGTGAGAGCTAATCTATAATTAGCCTGATGCAAAGAGACATAGTAGAAAATAACACAGATCAAATTACTGGAACATCTTTTATCTTAAATAACTATCTATATATTTTAAAGAAATCAAAATGAAAAATGGTCCGAGGACTATCAAAAACAACAATGAGAACTCTCTTGCTCCAATGGACGGGTGCTAGAAAATTTATTCGGACGGATTGATGGACTTCAATAATTCATAGAATAAACACAATTATATTTTGTATTTATAAATCTTTACCAATTTCAGAAATTTTATTTACATACTACTTAACCTAATAATTATTTCATAAAAATGCAATTAATCATAATTAAGACGAGATGGTTAATTCTCCAAACAACAAAAATAAATATTTAATCCCAGATTTTAAGCTTTTAGAAGAGATCATAGTTGTCGTCACCAAAATGTTGAGTTAGGGTTGACAGATATGGTTAGTGGTTGCAACCTGTGCAAGTTAAGCCACAACTCTAACACCCTATGATCACTACCGTCCATGTCCTCATCATTCGCTTTGTGATTCCCGTCAATTCCTCGTCTAAATAATTGTCCATCCTCTTCATTTCCTTCTTTTATGGCTTCATTCTCGTCATGAGAATAATAATAACTTCGACTATACCCCGTGTTCATAATGTCGATGGGGAGCGCGAATCTTGGGGCTCTGCTTCGTCAACTACTGGCCGTAGGATCGTAATCGGACGAGTGTCTTAGCTAAACGCAAACCACGTAGCACGGATCGTAAAGCACAGGTAGGTAGTTATAAACCGTGTGATCGTGATCGGACGACTGTTATGGTTTGAGGAAAGAGCTCGTGTGATGCCAAATGCGGTGGGCCGGTGCGCTAGCTTTCTGCTGCTGCCGCTCTTCTTCTTCTTCTCCTCCTCCGTCACGTTTCTTCTTTTCTCCTTCATTAGTTCTCGCTTTGGCCTCGCTATAACCTTAACCCTATCTCGACATCCTTAGGAGCGGAGCGAGGAGGAGGGTGGCAATGGCGGACCGAGTCTACCCTTCCGCGAAGCCTAACCCGCAACCTCCCAGCGCCAACAACAGTGGCGGCGGAGGGAGGCCGCCCTCCTTCCCGCCATCCAAGGGCCAGACGTACGGTGCCACCCGCCAGGCCTACCGCCCGCAGCCCCGAAAGCTGCCGCCGCCGCCCCGCCGCCGCCGGGGCTGCTGCCTCTGGCTCACCCTCATCATCGTCGCCTTCGTCTTCCTCGCCGCCATTGCCGCCGGCATCTTCTACGTCATCTACCGCCCCCGCCGCCCAACCTTCGAGGTAGACGGCCTCCGATTCTCCGCCTTCAACGTCTCCGGCGACGGCCAGCTCACCTCCCGTCTCGAACTCAACCTCACCGCCTTCAACCCCAACCGCAAGATC